CCAGCCCCTCCAGGTCCTTCGGGGAGGGAGGGGCCCAACCCTGACCCCAGCATTCGAGGGGTGGCCTCCCCAGTGCCCAGCACAGGGGCACGGTCCCTGCCCTGCTCCTGCTGGCCACACCACTCTTGATACAAGCCAGGATGCTGTTGGCCCTTTTGGCCACCTAGGCACACTGCTGGCTCATATTCAGTCAGCTCTTGACCAACACCCCCAGGTCCTTTTCCACCAGGCAGCTTTCCAGCCGCTCTGCCCCACGCCTGTAGCGTTGCGTGGGGTTGTTGTGACCCCAAGGCAGGACCCGGCCCTTGGCCTTGTTGAACCTCATAAATACAGCCCTGAACCCATGGAAATGAACCCACACCCACTGCTGCCCTGCTGGCATACGGGACCTTGTAAGGCTTTCTTCTCTATCTGCTTTCGGTGGGGTTTTATTGTCTTTGCTTTCTCTTTCAGAGGAATAAAAGGAAAGAGCGAGACTACTTGAATATCGGCTACTCTCCCATGGAAAAAGGCAGAGCCAAGGGGCAGCCCCCTTCACCGCGGGCCCAGTCTGTGTAAGCTGAATGTCCCTCTGCCAGGGCTAAGGAGGAGAGAGCAGCTTGGTCAAGGGCCCCAGTATTTATCCTTTGCCAACCTGCCTCTGCCATCTCTGAAACCTGACCGATGACTGGCTATCCTATGGGAATGGCTAAAACCATCGGGGCGATCCCACCACGCTGTCAGTGGCAGTGGTAGCAGCCCACCTTGCCTACGTGCTACGCTTTTGCAGCAGCTTTAGAGAGGAGAGGAGGAATGAGATCCTCGCTGTTAATGATTCGTGCCCCGTACCCTTGGCTCTGGAGAATCTGCCAGAGAGGGAAATCGCGCTGCTGCCGCCGAGGGGGTTTTGCAGCAAAATCTGAAGGAAGAGGAGACGAGAGCAGAGGGAGGTGGATTGGCACCCATGCGGAGAGGGAGCATGTGCTAAGCAGCATGAGTTCCTTACATAAGCAGAGACAAAATACCCCAAATTCTGTTTTTCCCTCTTGCCCCCAGTAATGGGATGCCAGTGAGTGTTGGAGGGGGGGTCAGAAGTTGCAGGTGAGTGGGTAGGGACATATGTCCCTTATATAATAGCAGAGCTTTTGGGCACCTTGCATTGCAGCACTGGTTTTGACAGAAGAGGTGGCTAGGCAGGAGCGGAGGAGTGGGTATGCAAGCAGAGGCAGCAACGCTGTTGTTGGGCTCATGTAGAATGAAAAAATCCGTCTGAAGAGAGGAGGGCGAAAGGAGATGTCACATGTTCTTCTCCGGGCCTTTGGCCACCACCCGAGTGCTGGTGGCTCCTGCCCGCTGTGCCCAGCGTGTGCTGTGGGCAGAGCCAGGAGCTCGGAGAGGGCAGGAGGAGGCAGGGAAGGGTGCTGCTTGGCACCCGTGGCACCCCACAGCCCAGAGCCGCTCTGGTCCCGCGGGGCATCGGTAACTGTGGAGTCCTTGCTTCATAGAATCATAGAATGTTTTGGGTGGGAAGGGGACCCTAGAGGCCACCCAGCCCAACCCCCCTGCAGGAGCAGGGACACCTTTAACCACATCAGGTTGCTCACAGCCCCGTCCAACCTGGCCTGGAATGTTCCCAGGGATGGGGCCTCCACCACCTCTCTGGGCAACCCCTGCCAGGGTTTCACCACCCTCAGTGTAAAGAATTTCTTCCTTAGATCCAGTCTAAACCTACCCTGCTTCAGTTTAAAGCCATCCCCCCTTGTCCTGTCACAGCTGGCCCTACTGCTTCCATCCAGCGCGAGAGGGAAATCAGGATCCTTGGCTGCCATTCTGACCCTTCCAGCTCCTGCTGGATCTGGCCAGTTGGGGTCTTCCCCCCTGGGCTCTAGAAACGTTCGTGCCCCATTTAAAATGCCCAATTCTGCAACCTCAGCTCTGAATAAATGAGGGTGGGGAGGACCGCGTGGGACTGAGCCGAGCAAGGCGAGGTTGGCTCCAGAGGGCCCCCGTGGGTTCAGCTCTGGGTGTCAAATCTCCTTTAGAGGTGCTTGGCTCTGGCCCTTGGAGCAGCCCTCTCCTTCCATGAGAATTTTGGAAAATCCAGAGAAAAGGGGTATGTAGGGAACGGGGATGGAGAATAGCGGGTAACCCGATGTCGTCCTGTCTGCCAAGCTGGGGAGGGAAAAAGGGAGCTGGGCCGGGCCATTGCCTGCTTCCCACTGGCCACCTGCCTGTGGGAAAAGGTCCCAAGCGGTGAGGCTCTTCATAACAAGGCTTTGTTTCTTGGCAGGGTTGATGATGAGTCAGCTTCCGTCTACGAGAACCTTAACATCAAAAGCCCAAAGGTTTCGGGGATGAGTAACACGGGGCGATAAGGGAGCCAGAGGTGAGCTGTACGGAGGCTGTACAGGTAGGAATGCGTCCCTCGATTCAACCAGAGCGGCACCACGGGCTGTTTACGCTGTGTTTGACCCAGCTCCTCTTCACCTCGGCTCTCGCAGATCCCCGGGGCCCTGCCTGCATCAGGGAGGGCAGCGATGCTCAGCTGAAATTTGGTGGGAGCCTAAAGAAGTGGCTGTGGCCAGCTGCTGACCTGAGACCGGGGGGGCAACGGGGCGATGAGACCTCAACAGGGAAACACGTTTGCCTTACCAGGGGGGTGGGGGCAGATCTGCCTTTTGGACCATTACATCAGGAAGACTCTGAAAACAAAACGGCGCTACGTATGCAAACAACCAGGAGAGCCTTCACAGGCTGGGAGCGTCTCAGCTCGCTTTTCTTATCAACGCACTTTTCCCCCCAGTTATAAACCATGCCACCCTTCTTCCTTCTTGTTTTGGAATGCAGGGTTTACAGTGTTTACGTCCACCTTTTCCAAGTTCTGCAATTGCGGACGAGTTTTTTTTTGCCCGTCTTGCCTTCCCCAAGCACCTTGGATTCAGCGAGGGAGTAAGAAGCTGCCTGTAAGAAGCAAGCGCCTAAGAACCAGCCTTGACCTAACTTATTAATGAGAAGGATCTTCTCCCATTCTCCCCTGTATCAGCAGGTTGATATTTATGTGGAAGTGCCTCTGGACATTCATTAGGGCATCAAGGCTCAGTTTTAAATTTTTTTTTTTTTTTTTTTTTAATTTAAGATTCTTATTTTTTACACACAAACTGTTAAAAGGAACAGAAATGACTCTTTGCTTAGGACCTTTCCCAGGGCTGCCCACTTAGGGCGTCTGTAAAATGTTAGTACACTTTAATGGGTTCATTAGGTCAATCGTTTCAAAGCTAGAAGTGGTTTTAGACTAAATCCTGGAGTAACTTTGCTGCCTGTGAGGGTGAGAAATAGAGAGCACTGCAGGTATTTGCATCCCTCTTGGTGGTTCTTCTCACGCTTCCTTTTGGCTGTACCAGTTCTGGATTCCTATGCAACCCTGCCAAAGCCCGGCGAGCGAGCAGTCCCCACTGCTGCCGCGGCACAGCAAAGGCGCGGGTGTGTGCCTGGGAGCCCGCTGGCTGCTCGGCGCGTGGCTTTCGCAGCAGATCCAAGAGATGGAGGCGAGCATGGCCACCTCGGACCGCCTGGGTCTGACTTAAGCTGGGTGAAGCCCCACCTGGCTGATGGGTGCTGGAGGGTGGGAGAGCAGCTCTGACCCTGCGCCGCGCTTTTAGCCGCCCCTGGCGAGTAACAGCCTAGGATACTAAGCTGAGCTGAACTTTTTGAGCTGGGCCCCTCTAAGCTTGATGCAGCTCTGCCATTACCTTGCTGTGTGGCCTCTTTATTTTTTTTTATTCCCCTTGCGCCGCAACTATATGACAAGGCAAGCGTTGTGCCTGCTGAGTAGGGGTGTTGTAGGAGTGTTTGTGGCTTGACCATGAAGATGAGTGTGTTGCTGAGTGGAGTGTTCCAGCTCTGCTGATAAGTCTTGGCTTCCTCGCTGTCCCAGCCCTAAGGCCTGCAAAGAGCCCTGCCAAAGAACCCCTGCCCGTAGGATGCAAGGGCTCTGGGGGGAGCCTTGGGTCTGAGTGCCGGTACCTGAACCTCCAGAGCGTGCGTGGAGCCGATGCTGAAGTCCTCCTGGGTCTCTGGAGGCAGGTGGACTTGCTGCACGGTTGGGGTATTAGTGCCTGGAGCTCCAAGGGGCAGAAGGGGTTGAACAAAAGCACAACGACATCCCTTGGCTGTATTCCCTGGCTGGTCTTTCTGGTCCCTTGTCGCAGGGACAGGAGAACTGTTTATTTTTATTGCACTTTTAATAAATGTTGAACATTCTCAAGGCTTTTTTTTTTTTTTTTTTCCTCCTTTCTTTTTAAGTAGTTTGGTTTTTTGGGAAAGTGACTGCCGGTGCGGGCAATGGGGCATCCTGAATGCCTCCCACTGCTGAATGCTACTGCTCAGGGCCCTGTTTTCACTTGCTTTGAATCTTCCTTTTCCCTATGCATGAGTGAGGGGTTCAGCTCCGTGTCAGCTAAACCTTCAACCTCTCTTTCCAAGTATATGGTGAGAAGGGTTTAACGGGTTGCCCAGGGAGGTGGTAGAGGCCCCATCCCTGGGAACATTCCAGGCCAGGTTGGACGGGGCTCTGAGCAACCTGATGTGGTTAAAGGTGTCCCTGCTCCTGCAGGGGGGTTGGGCTGGGTGACCTCTAGGGGTCCCTTCCAACCCAAACCATTCTATGATGCTAAAGGGAACTAAACCTCCAACCTGTCTTTCTAAGTACATGGTGCGAAGGGGAAGCGCGAAGGGACAGCCCCCACAAGGACACTGTGACAGACCACCAGAACAGTTGGAGCGGTGAGAACCTCTCTGTGGCCTGTTTGCCACTGTAACAGTAGATTTTATGAGGGTGAAGATGTTATTTCCCTCTCCCCTGCCCTTAGGTCTCATCAGTGGGAGCTGAACAAGGTGTAACGATCAAAGCACTTCATCTCCACTAATGTCTATTTGCTGGCCTTAGTCCCAAGTGTGCCTTGGGTAAAAATGGAAGTGCCTTCTCCGCCTTAAGTCTTGGCGAGTGACTTTTTCCCGACACACGCTTAAATAGGTGCGGTGAAGATACCCTTTCAGTGGCAAGCACGGGGGGGGCGGGGAACGGCCAGGATGCTACAAATGAGAATCCCTGCCAAGCCCGACGCCTTTAGCAGGAGTTGTTGCAGGGCCTGGTGTGGTTTCTGCAGACGTGTGGCTGGCACAGACGAGACCAGCCTGCAGCTGAACACCAAAGGCATCGCAGATACAGCGCACGCAGCAGCTTTCCACAGAAGTTTTGCATAGCAACAGACTCGAGTTACTTCTGCCGTTGCTTCAGCCTTTTTCTATTTCAAATCAGATTTTCTGGAAAGGGAGACTGGAAGCATCTTCCATCCAGCTGGGAAGAAGCGAAAGACAAGCAGTCTTTGCAGCTTCTCGTTTTTCAGGTCAAATTGGGTAGGCACAGAGGGGACACCACCCCTGGGACACCACCCCTGGGACACCACCCCTGGGACACCACCGCCTAGATGGGAGTAAGTATGAATTTACAGGGTAAAGCTGTCCACGTGTGCCGGATTGTATGACCCTGGGCCAGCGGATGCACGGGCCAGCGTACAGACACGCTACCTGCCGCGTAGCTGTCGGGAACGCCGCCGGAGCCGGGACTGCTAAGTGAGTGCTTCTAACTGCAAGTAAGAAGGGAAACGTGCAGTAATTGCTACAGATGGACACCTTGCTTTGTATAAAACATAATTTAATACATACACGTATGGTACTTGCATACAATACTGTCTTACATCCATGGGTTTGAATAGAAAACATTTAATTGTAAGCCGCCTTCGTCATGAAGACTTTTTGTTAATCACTGTCAAAACGATCACTGCATTGAATAAAAATATAGTGTAAGCAACTGGCCTGTGTCTTAATACTGACACATTTTTAAGATTAGGAGGGTAAAGCGGTCAAAAGATGGAACTTCTATCGGTTTGGCAGTAGTTTGCCTGCGAGAAGCGTGAAGTTTGCTGCTTCTGCCCTTGATGATGCCCTTGCTGTGTCAGTGTGCCTGACAGAACACTCCCCCTCCGCATTCAAAACCACTTTCCAGGTAGGGATGAGTGATTTTTTTAAGCATGACCTTAGGATGAACGAGTAGAATGGCCACTCTGCCCTCTTCAAATCCCGACCCGGGTGAGTAGCAGTGATAGATCCGTGTTCTGTCAGCAGGAGGCAGCACTTACACCTCCAACATTGAGTAACGCAACATGAACTGTTTCCAGCGTGCGGAAAAAGGATAATTTTCATCTGCTTGTAAGACTTTGACATGTCCTTACCCTCCCAATCCCAGCTCCTCTTAGGAATAATCATGTAGCTCCTTCAGTTTGCAAAAATAGCCCTTTATTCCCTAAGGGAGTTAGAGGAACTGTACCCGCTGTCACTTGGTATCTAGCCAAGGCGGCACACGGCCGTGTGCCACTCCAGGCAAACAGTCCTAGAAACCCCACTGTTGCTTTCAGAGCTCTGCTTTCCATGGAGAGTTTGGCAGCAGGATGCTGAGGCAGCTCCTCGGAGCATCTCTGGGCTGGAGACAACTTGGCGGGACAATGTTTCAGCAGAGCTCCTGGAGGTGGACACGTGTGTTCAAGTGCAGGCACAAAGAGGAGCGTGGGGAGCGGGCATCGGGGTCTGCCAGCAAACCACGGAAGGCCGACAGGACCTGTCCCGGCCTCCCGGCACGCTGTGGGGAAGGAACCGGCGGCCTGGCTAGACGGGAGCGAGGGGCTGCCCCGCTGCTATGGGAATGGGAGTTGTGTCACGGGTGTTGCTGCCGTGGTGTGTTTAGGGGGAAGATACTCTGGCCTGCTCATCGCCACAGTCCTCGTGAAGCAGCGGAGGTTCCCCGTCTTCAGGGCACACTGGACCGGCCACAGAATGATGCAGAACAGGATGATGATCAACGCGGAGAGGAGGACTATGCGTTTCCAGTCATCGCACATGTCGCAGCGGGACAGCCTCCCAGCTAACCCTGCCGGGGGGGCCTCCGGACTTTCTGGCTTGCTCATGGCGACATCAATGGAGATACACGAGTCTGGATTCTCGGGGTCATCGGACGACTGACGGCAGCAAAGCTTGGTCCCTTCCATCCAGAGCACCTTCTCCTGCTGGAGTTCAGGAGGCAGGGTGGCAAGGAGCTCCTTGCTGGTCTTGAGTGCTGGGGCACCTTCCAGAGGGATGCTGGTCAGCTGCCTGCAGAAGGGGCAGGGGAGCTGGTCCTCCGGTTGGTTTGGGGGCAGCCCCGTGCTCAGGCGGGCCACACACTCCAGGCAGAAAACGTGGGAGCACTGGAGCAGCTTGGGCGTCTTGAAGGTGTTGTCATAGGTGTTGAAGCAAATGGAACACTCAACAGGGGAGGCTGGCTTTGGAGATGTTGGGTTTGGAGAGCCGGGCTTGTCGGTTGGGGACCTCGCCTTCCTCTTGCCATCTCCTGGGGAGGTGACAACAATGGGGCTGATGGGGATGGGGATTTCACTTGGAGATGCAGGGACCGGGCTGGTGGGAGAGGCTGGCGTGTTGGAGTGCCACAGCTGCGTGAAGCAAGACATGACGGAGCCCGGGGAAATAAATAGAGCCCTGGGAGACTCTAGAAGAGAAGAAAACCACAGCCTTCATTTTAGACAGTGTGAAGATGCCCGTCACCAGACTATGTTTTACCCCTTAAAAGGAACAAAGAGCAAGTTCGTGACTTCCACTCCATCGTGAGCCTGGAATAGATCCCTGCAAGAGGTGAGAATGACACAGGTAGCCTGTTTGAAGCTGCGTACCAAAGGTGAAGTTAAACATCCTGCAAAGAAGCAAGCAACCAGCAGAGCTCCACCATCCAGCCAAAGCCTTTCCACCAGAACCACCATGGCGTTATAGATGGGCACAGTCTTTCCCCGTACATGCCTCCCTCTGGGCAGAAAAAACACAACAAAAACCTACCCCAGCTGGTGCTCCCCGAGACCTGAGCAGGGAGGAGAGCAGAAGACTCCATGAGGTCAAGTAGGGACCTCGCTAGGGCAGTCTATTAGTCTGGGAGGCACTCAGATATTATGGTGGCAGCATGAGCAAGGCCTAAGAGACAGATAACACTGTTCAGTTGTGGGGGGAGGGGGGGGGGGGGGAAATCTCTTCTCTTCGGTGTGCTCAGAGCTTTGTGCCTCGAATCTCGGTTCTGCATGCTGCCCAGGAGGCAAGGGAGGCACCACCCAACGATGCTGCCTGGTTTTGTCTGCCCACAGCAGGCTCTGACCTCCCTCGTGTCCCAGGAGAACCCAAGGGAGCTGGGGAAACACTCTTATTTTGCAAAGTTTGTTGCATCCTCAGCCCCGAGCGGCACAAGCAGCATCTCTGTCTTGTCACCGTGACACAGCAAGAAAAGCAATGTTGGAGGAAATGGCCTTGGTGCCAGAGCGAGGGGAATTCTCCACTGTTTCCTTGTTGCTCTGCTTTCCCTAGGGAAACACAGTTCTTCCCTGTCCTCGGCCCCAGAGGAATGCCCGCATGGCCCAAACCTCGCTGCCATGAGCTCAATGCTTGGTTGTGGTGTGCAAGCAGCAGCCGGGAGTTGAACGGCTGATACGCCGCTGCTAGCGAACCGGTTTACAATTTACCCCGGCCTTTTCAGCAACCTCAGCATTACCTCGAGTTCTGGTCACCCTGGGCTAGACACCCAGCTTGGTGCACGTCCTGATATTCAGATATATGAATTTTTAGCTATTGAGCACTTCTACCTGAAAGCAAGCGTTCAGCCGGAGGAAATTCCCCGATGCTCTATGCCTGGGGAACATTTTTTTGCGATGTGTCACTGAACTCGCTAGGCTTGATTCTTTGCGTTGGGAGATTTGACCGATGACAAGGCAGCAATGCTCAGATTGCTGCTGTAATTACAGGGCTCCAGTCAATCCAGCAATGGCTCACCTGCACGGGCTTGGGGCTCCCCATCTCAGCGCAAAAGGCTAATTTAAGGTATCAGAAAGACTGCGTATTCCTCACATTGCACCAAAAAAAGTCTACGTTGGGTAAGTTCAAGACCAGGTTGGATGGGGCTGTGGGCAACCTGATCTGGTTAAAGGTGTCCCTGCTCCTGCAGGGGGGTTGGGCTGCGTGACCTCTAGGGGTCCCTTCCAACCCCAAACATCCTATGATTCTACGATTCTATGAAGCATGAAGGATTCTCCCCTCTCCCATCACAGCTGGCGTTGCCAGAGCCGAAATCAACTTTAAGAACCTTCCCTCTTTTTCTCCTCTTATTCTAAATGAAGAAAT